CAATGGTGTAGCGGGCCGGCATGCAAGGACACTCCGCCTTGCAGTACTTGTCGATCTTGCGCAGCGGTGGACGCTCGATCTCCTCAAAGGAGGCGGGCGAGTCCGGCCGGTCGTCGTCGTCGTCATAGGCATGGCCACCGCCCGGACCGCGACCTTCACGTTGGCCACCCTCCATTTCCTCGTAGCCGCCATGACCGCCGTGATATCTCTCCGATATCTCGAACTTCTCCATGTTGGGCTTCAGGCTGAAGGAGAAGAATATATAATAAATATTACTATTATGTCATTGGATATATAGTTCCTTGTTATTTATAGAATTCCTTGGATTGCCTTGTAAAGCTATATTTCTTGAGTATTTCTTATACAAAAACAATTGCCTTAAGACATAACTCTGCAATTAAGCGGTGGCAGTCAAATCAACAGGTCAACGAAGGCGTGAAAACACAAATATTTCGGCTTGTTAGCAGCAACAGCTGCCAGTCCACCACCCCAAAACGAATGCAAGTGTTGTTGTTTTCCCACCAAGTCCCCAAGGATGCGTACTGCTGAGGTAGGAATGCCACAGAACTTGCCTGTCCCTGTGCTGGAATATAAAATTCAATTTATTAAGTGCTGATAGCATTGCCAGGGTATTAGATTGATGGAGCAGGTAAGAATCTTAAATCGCATTCCAGATTGATTTCCGAGGCAAACAGGTGCCGCCGCCAGTTTAAACACAGTTAAATGACTTGTCGTCGACTGATTGATGGATGTGTGCTCTGGCTGATATCGGGAGGGGGATGTGACCCCTTCCCACTCCTGGCTATCCATTAACCCGGATAAGTGACACATCTCTCGTTGGCATTTTCTTCATAAATATCCAGACAAAAGTCCCCTAAGTATGCAATACAAACTAATAAGGAGCAGCCACCAGCCGAAACAAGCCACTACAGTGGATAACTTGTCGTCGAAGTCAAAGTCGCCGCCTGTCACATAACTCAACTGTCTGCCGCCAAAGCTACCCTGTCTGGTCACGCAGGAGCCCCTGGAACAATAACGGCGAAGGAGAAGAACTCTGGTATAAGGATCTCCTTGCGTCCTTCGCACATCGTCTCCTGCCTTGACCGACTTTAAGGCTGACGCCAATTTATGCGGCAATTTTATTTGCCCTTGGAAGGGCAGAGGTTTGCGTAATGTCCGTCATTAGGTTTGCTATGAGCCAAAAGACATTTCGATTACCATTTCTAAGAAATATTTAAGGCCTTGACATTTAGGTATTTTGGAAAATCTAAGATGTTATAGAAGAAATCTATGATGCCTAATAATAATTAATAAGTTAGCATTAAGACTTGAATTTGGTTAGTAAAGGTATATATTTTTCAGCCTACTCTTAGACACCTATTAATATCCTTCTTAGAGTATCTCCTATCACTATACTAAGGAACAAAAATCTCTGTTTAAGGAAGGGAAGGTCCTCGAACAGAGCCAGTTCTTTTTTGACGTCTCGCCAACTATCTTTGGCGCTAAGTTTTTGGTTTGATTGTCAGTAAAAATGTTGCAGACTTGTTGTCGCCACATAGATTACGGCTAACTGGCGCCACAAGCCGAAGGATGCCCAGGATTCGCTTTGACTTTAACATAGCCCCAAAAAAAAGAAAAATAAAATGTAAATGGGGCAAATACTATATGTATTAGTTTATTTGCCCCAACAACTGAGATGCTGCGGCACTTGAGGCGGGTTGGAATGGTAATGGAGCGCCTTGTCAGCAACACGACCGCGTCTTCAATGACAATTCTAATTTCATTTTCACTGGCAAGGATAAAGGAACTGCTTCAGCTGCTTCGCCCCTAAGAGGCATTTCAATTTCTTCGCGCCCAAGTGCCACTCGAGAACTTCAGCCGCAGGTCCTGGCAACCGCTCGTAAAATCAATTCATTTGCGTGTGCCACTGCAGCAGCCCTTTTTCCCGTTGGCATGCAACACATCCTTAATGAAAGCGATGTGCCACCTATTGTTCCAATTTCTAATTTGCGCCCAAGGTCCTGAGAAATCGGTGTGTGTGTGTGTGTGTGGATGGATCTCTCTGTGGCGTGCCCCATGAAATTGCATACCGCTTCCACGCGTACACACACATTCATTGAGTGTTTGCCCAATATGCTTTACTACGAGTACAACTTATTGATCTCGAGGCGGCAAAAGGTGCCGGAAGCCAGAGTCGAAGTCTCCAGGACACGTGCTGTCAACGTGCCTGGAATTCCAGAGACATCGGTGAGCTACGTCGGCATGCCAGCGCGTCCATTGTACCAGAGTCAGCAACTGCCCGGCTCTGCTCTGGGAGGACCTCGTCCTGGCCCACCTTTAATGACTTGTTAAGCATGCCAATAATTTCACAACTTCCCGGATCGACACGTGCCGAAGTTTCCCGACGCCGGCTAGTCGCAAGTGCGTATCAATATACATATTTACTGCATTATCCTGTCGGCATGGTCAAGTTCATCCAACACGAACAACGACCAGCCTTGCGTTAAATTAAATTCTCCCCGTTTTTTTCCCCATCCGTTGTCTCTCTAAAGTCCATTTGATTGCAATCATATTTCATACTGGGTTTAATGCTCATCGTCATCACGCTACACTTGCCAGCAAAGTGATGAGTTTTGACAACATAGTCCTGGTCTAGCATAGGTTATTAAAGGTTTTATGATTCTATATCCTATTTTTTTGGGATCATCTAATTTTCAATATTATATAAGCAATTATAAATTGGTATTGAGGGAAGATATTTATAATAAGAACCTTATAACCCAAGACAAAAATCTCCTTTTGTATATAAAATGTTAAGTTTTAGGAACTTATACCCTGCTGTCTCGCATTTTATCGCTTGGTGTATGAATATTAGTATCATCCTCTCTTCGATTCGATTATCCTGGCACACTCACCCGCCAAACACGCCCGTCGCCTTCTCCTTAAACGCCGTCAAGCCCTTCATGGCGATGCTGTGGTGCTGTTGTCCCTTACTCCTGTGTCCTTACTCCTGACTCCTCCCTGCTCCTGTCTCCGGATCGCTGAATCCTCCGCCTGAGTCAGCGTCTGTGGTGTTTGCTTCGCTGTCCTGTTCGTTCCGCTGTTATCACTTGTGCGCATAAATGTGTTGTGTTGCCTACTTCACGGCGGATTGCCGTGTATATAAGCGTGGCGAATCGGCGGCGGCGTTTAATTTCCGTGAAGCCGGCACAAAATTTGATGACTCTATTTCGACTCAACGGGGGCTTTTCACTTGGCCGCCATATAATTTAGCTTTTGGGCCGGAAAGTTGTTGCATTTCCAGTTACAGTGCCTGCAAAAGAGATTTGTACGGGTTATTAATGTGTCCACCGATTTGTGTTCTGTCGCTGATAAGCAAAATCCCCGAACAATTTCATCATTTTGCACATTTCTTGTAAGCGGCTTATGTTCATAAATTTCCTCGAGGGATGACGACTGCGGTGGGATGGGTCCGGGGGAGATTTTGTGGGTCGGAAAAGCATTTTGTAATATTTCTGGCTTTGTTGCTATTTTGATTGCCTTTTATGCTTCATTTAGTGTGTGTATGACATTTGAGTCTTATTTTGGTCGGAACTAAGCCCTAATCTAAAGGGTTATTGAAGAGTGGGTGGAAAATAAGTTGGGTTCTTATGAAAACTTGTATTTTAATTGGAACAAAATGCAATATATGTAAATTTCTTTGTTAATGTTTTTACCATTCAATTTTAAGATGAAAAGGCTATTAATTTTACTCAATTGAAGTACTTAAATAGAATTTCGATGGGAAAAATCGTTGTACATTTTTGTGAAAAGTTTGCCTGGGATATATTAAATAATTTCAATAATATTGTTTACGGAAAATGTAATCAATTAATACTTTTAAACCCATGAAACCATTATAAATGCGGAATCCTTACACAAATCTGTTAACATATTAAAAATATTATTAAATTATACAAAACTTTACTCGACATTAGAAGTTTATAATTCCAAAAGTTTCTGTCATAATACGGAGATCACTTTTTAAATACTGGCTTAAGTTGTTTCATAGTTATAAATATACATTTTTTGTTAAAAATTCTAGTCGTTTCTTTCGCATTAGTTTAAATCCCCTGTGGAAATTTTCTTCATAAAAAATCTTCCACACACTTCCATATTCCAAGAATTTTCCATTTAGACATTTTCCTCCCAAAAAGTTCAGCGTGGGTTGTACTTTTGACCTTTGGTCGTTACGCCTACTTACATGCCACACTAAAGTTACGTAATCCATATTTTCCGATGTGCGCGATTATGTAATCGTTGATTCAATTGAAACTGAGCAGAGTTTCCGTTAATTTTCGGGCTTAAATTATGTTTCGTTAGGCAACAAAATTTGTTATTATGAACAATTTTGTTGTTGTTGGTTAGGATATCACAAATAAGGTACACAGATAACAGATTATATAGATTGATTAAACACTACGCGATACGCTGGAAGTAGGGAAACAGAAATATATTGGAATTAATAATCAAAGGGGGTCATAGAAATATCTAGTAATTTTAAATTAGTCACTAGAAATTTCTATAGTCGTTGATTATATAGTTTTAATATTTATTTAAATTTATTGACTTGTGGAAGATCCATCTCACATTTTCTGAACAACACACGCCCCGCAAAATATATAAAAACGGAAGTGAAAAACTTTGGGTAAACCAATTAAAAACTTAAAATGTGGGACGACAACATTCAGACAGAGTTTGACCACGAGACCGGCGGCAGGACGACGACGACGACGACTTGGATGGCGATCCGAATCCAACTCTGTCTGAAGACTGTGTGCCAGCTAGGTGGCATCCAGTCGCGATGTGGACCCCAGCCGAGGATCGTTGGAGGACAGGTGGCGAGATGGTTGGAAGGCGACGCCAATGGATACATAAGCAGCCATCTCAGTCGAGGACTATCTGGTATATATACATATATATATAAGGCTTGGGAGTGGGTTTGGTTTTTGGGAAGTGGGAGGAGCGTGGTATATAGACTGGAATTTTTTCTTTTCAAGGGTATTACGCGACAAAATCGAGACAAAAGTGATATTTTACTAATATTCCAATGGAATTAAACACTTTTTTGAAACGCTCTCGTTTAGCACAATATTATTCAGATATTATCAACTATATTCCAGTATTAATTGATGTTTTTTTTCTATATATATTCTCGAAAAGGTTTATACCCGCAGCTCCAGGCTCGCGATTTGGCCTCAGCAAGACAACGCACGAAGTGAAACTAACGGGGCTGGCATTCGCCTTTCTTGTCTGCCCAGATAGATGTCCTGCCGCCGGATTATGCTCCTCCGCAGCATAATCGAAGCATCGATCCCACTCGCACTCGCATTGTGGTGAAAAGCTCTGCGGACGAAGGATAGCATCCTGCGCAGGCCCGAGAATCCGGACGGGCTGTGCCGGAATGTCCTCGTCGGTCACATTGGTCGAGGGTGGATGGCAACAGTAGCAAGCGGCATCTTGGGGCCGGAGTTGGGGCTTCAGAGCCACCTGGCCGGGTTGGACCAATCAGAGGCCAGGACTCGGATTCCTCCTGCCTCCCATGCACATAGGTGGGCCCCATGGACTCCCTGGGTTGGCATGCGAATCTCAGTCGTGCGTGAAATGCTATTAAAACGTTGCCAGGCCATTTTCTATTGTTTTCCAGAGACTGAGGCTCAGAGACATTTTCCCATATATATAGAAATGTCAGCCATTTTGGAAAATATTCTCTGTCTGCCGTGTGTGTGTGGGAGGCTCGAAAATAGCTACAAGCTTAAAAGTTTGGAAAATGCCACCATTTATGAATGAACATCCACAATATACTTGTTTTATTCCCATAAATTAGGCTATTTTGATCGATGCGAATTTTACGTGTACGTTTTTTTAAGTTTGCCAATATTTCGTGAAGTTAATATAATTCCAAACTAATGGATTCTCATTTATTTATAAAATTGTATTTTATAAAAATGTTAGTCACTTGAACTAATGGATTTTAGTCTGCAGCTTCTGTACCTCCATTAATTTCAGAAATAATAATTTGTTGAAATAAATATATATAATAGATGACCAAGCTATACACCTGAGGATTATTATTAGTTAATGGAAATATAAATATATACTTACTAGGGTTAATATTTTATCTCATATATACTTTGCATATATTTTTGTTAGACAAAATAACTACGTTGACAAATGTTTAATTTGGCCAATGCATTTTTTACTTATACATATCTTATCTAAATAATTCATTATTAAAATGATTTCTTTAAATAATATATAATAAGTTAATAGAAAATGTTATAAATCATATACGTAAGCCAATGCCAATTTTTCACATACACAAAATCTAAAAAAAATATTATATATAAATATTGTATTGCTTCTTTATAATAATACTTTATAACAATTTAATATACTGTAGTTTTTCGAAAAAATATAATTCTTTATGCAATATTTTTTGTGAATTTATAAATAGAATTATTATATCAAATTTAATGCTCATCTCTATATGCTCATATCTAAATTTATATAAAAATATATTTGTAATATAGTTCTCCACTCATTTTTCTTTGTTTTAGATTAGTTGCCTTTAATTAAATATATTTAATATATTTCTTTTGTCAAATCTTTCCTTCGTCTAATCTGACCCCTTCGTTTTCAATATTATTTCAAAACAAAGAATATTTTGAAGAACTTTTCAAACAAATATTATTAGGAAGTACATTTTCTTAAACTAATTGACTAATATTATAAACCCCCAAAAAGTGTCCTTGAAACTTACAACAATATTAAGTTACTATTTGTCAATATGTATTTACACCTCTTTCTCTTAATTTCCCTTCCAAACTGTCCACTTAAAGTAGCCAATAATCTTGGTCAACAGTGTGAGCAACTGCCTCGATTCTCAGCCAATTCATAATACTGAAAAAAAAGAAACCCATGGCTCCCATGATCCCAGCTTCCGGTCCAAGCAACCCACCATTATGGGACTTCCCCTCAGATGGCCCAGCGACGTTGCTAATACGACGCGTTGGTCTAACCCTCATAAGCATAAAGCAAACAGCCAAACCATTGCAACTCAGCCAAAAGCTATAATAAAGTTGCGGAAGTAAACAGCAAAGCAAAATAAACAAGAAGCACAGGACGAACAGGACACAAAAAAAACCCCAAGCTGAGAAATGAAATGAAAAGCATCCAAACGGCCGCAAAGGATTTTCGCATTCAGAAAGGATACACAGGATACAGGCAGACATTGGGGCAGACATTTTCGCAGACAAGACGGCGGCACAACAAAACCAACAGCAGCCACCACAACACACTCAAGAGAACGATATTAAATTCGCAAAAATGTGCCGATCCACAGAGCGTTTTACTATTTAAACAAAGCGATTAAGGGATGCACGGACAGTGTCTAAAGCAGCATCCGCATTGATTGACGTAAATGAAGAATAATCGAATTGCGCCCATAAAACTCTAAACTAAGTGGCGGCGTTGTCAGGCGGCAAGAGTGTCGAGTGTCAGGCAGCGTACCACAGTGCACAGTGGGACTATATGATGTTCTCTACAGGGATTTTAGCTGAGATGATTTTTATTCCCTTACAGGATATTATAATTTCAGTCAGAAGCTTGTAAAGCAGTGAAGGACTCATTTCCTACCCTATAAGTCATATATTTTCTTGATCAGCATCAAAATCTGAATCGATCTAGCTATGTCCGGCTATAATTTAATTTTTTCAAAATTTTGAAAATTTGTAAGGGTTACATCGTTAAAACTGTTAAAAATTTTGTCAAAAAAATGAATCTTTGTAACTTGGTAAGCTAAATACGCAGATTTATTAACCTATAAAAAACTAGCTTAGGAAAGCTTTCCGAATTGAAATTAATGCATTTTGGCTTAGTTATGATATTTTAAAAACTTTGATTTACCTAAAAATGATCATATTCAAATATCGATTTAATATACCTAAAATAACAATATTTTAAATCTTTTTGGATGTATATTTGGATTTCTAAAACAATAATGAATATAACATTGGAGAAAACTCTACAAAAAATGTAACTGAAAGAAATTTGTATATTGTAACATTAAGAAATATAAAATGCATAGAACATCCTTGCTCCTAATGGTATAAATTTTGTTTTTTACTAATACATTTTCTTTACTTTCTCGTAGCACCCACTGTGACAAAATCAGTGGACGCAGCATTTCGCTCGCACTCATAAATCGTCAGCGAAAAAGTGTCAAACTTGAGTTGACAGTCGCCCCCCCGGCTGAAGTCAGAGTCCCAGCCTGATCCTGGATTTCGAGAATAGATGTCCTGGCTTCACTCCCCATCGCACGTCAGCGGTAATTAGTGCAGCTTCGGCCGAAAGTCGTCTTCAATTTCATTGCGCCAGCGTAATCATCATTATCCTGTTGGGCCTGTTGTATCGTCCCTTAAGCCGTATCCCGTTGTCCTTGCCTTTTGCACTAATTACAAAATAACTTTTACAGCATTTTGCGCTGGCTGTGTCATCTTTGTGCTACATTTTTTCGGGGGATTCCCCGTGGTGTCTCTGATGTATGGCTTTTCGTTGGATGATTTACGAGTGAATTGTGGAAGGAGTAGCTAAGGATAACTGTCAGCGAAGGGTTTCCCAGTGGTTTTAATTACCAGCTAGAAAATGTGACGACTTTAAAAGCGTATAAAATTCAACTCGGAATCCGTAAAAAGTAGGAAAATAAGGATTTTCCCAGGACGATTGAGGGCGGGAAATTGATGAGCTTCTGTTGATCCAGCAGACTCATGCTGTCAATCCACATGTCCTCCCACTCAATCACAAAACTAAACGCTGTGCTCGTCGATAAGCGTGCCACATAGCCACATAGTAAGAGTAATAAACCGAATGCCAGGGAGGAGGTCAAAGGTCGGGGGTGCTGCCAGTTGAGGGTGTCTCTGGCTCAAAGCGATTCCTGAGATTTAATATTTATTTTTGTTTGTGTGCAAATAGCTGGAAGCAACAGAGATATGAAAGAAATCCCCGGTAGAAAATGGGGAAACAAACGTAACTGAGGAACTCTGTTCAATAAATTTGACTTTAATCTGTAGAGTTTTCATGAATTACTCAATATTACTATGTGTATTTTGATGTTTCTAAGTCACATCTAATACAAATATTTTTCAAACCAAAATTTTGGTATACAAATAGTTTTTCTTAATTTTTTTTTAATATTTAAGATTAGCTTTCCGGTTCATAATTAGCATATGCCTTCACTTAGGGCTTAACTCTTTGTCTGCTCTATGGTAACAATGAAATCCATTGGGTCATAGACAGAATATTTATTCATTTGAAACCCATTTTTCCTTCGCTTGCCACACAACAATGAGAGCAAAACACAAAAGGCGAAGCGCGTCAGTCAGTGCAACTTTATTTCAGGCTAGAATGCACAGGACCCACTCACGCAAGGCTCTCGGAAACTTCCTTTATTCCTAAATGCACTCGAAAAAAATGGCAAAATACAACTACTTTTACAGAAGTTTTGTAGAATTCTTAAGATGACCTTAAAAATGTACTTCAAATAAGTCTGTTTCTTTTGGTAATTTAAGCATTTAACAAAGAAATACTAACTAAAAACTATTACAGAGCTACCTCAAGGGTTCAAACTTTTTTTTTTTAAATAATAACTAGAAATATAGTAACTTTTTAGACTTATTTTTTCTATCAGTGTAAGGACGCCGTGGGACAGGCGGTATACCGGAAACAAATGCTTTTGTCGCCTGGCGTGTGCCGCT